TATACAGGATATAAAAATTATGTTATATAAAATTAACATACCAGGGTAACACCTGGTATGAATTTTAGAAATGGTATACTAGATAGCAATACCAAACAAATTTGTGCATACCAGGTTCTTTACTTGAAAAGTCTATTTAGGTTTTTTTTTTTTCTTTTTTTTCTTTTTTTTTTAGAAGCCAATTTTTTTTTTAGAAACTTCTCTTGTATTTCAATAAAGACTTTAATTTTTAAACAATTCTACTAGAATCTTCTCTACTATTTCTAATATTATATTTTTCTTTTTTCTTTTTTAGTTTTTGACTCTTTTTAATCTTCTTGCTAATATATCTTAAATCAAATTTGTATCTATATACTATTGAGATCTTGACTAGTATATTTAATTTATCAATAGCTCTTTTTTTTTTGCTAGCTTCTTTTATTGATCTGAGAGTCTTCTATACTTGTTTAATATATTATTTTTATCATCTAATCTCTTGAGGTTATTAGAAAGATTTTGGGTTTTAATTTTTTTTGAATTTTGTTTAAAAATTTTCTTTTATAAGGCTTTTGATATTTTAACTTATAGTTCTTTTTTTCTTTGCTTTTTTGGTTTTTTTTCTTCTTATGCTGGTTTGCTGCAATCATTTCAATAAATTCTTTAAATTGTTGTACTAATATTTTCAAATTTGTCTTGTTATGCTATTTTTGTTGAGCTTCTTTTTGTTTTTTAAATTTCTTGTTCCATTCTAATTTTAGCTTTGACTTTATTTTTGCAGCTTGTTTTTCCTTTGTCAAACTTGTATCTTTTTTTTTCTACTTTGGCTTTCCTTCTTATTTTATGCTAGTTTGCTATAGTGGTTTCAATAGATTCTTTAAATTGCTATGATAAATTCTTTAAGGCTATTTTATTGTGCTATTTCTGTTTACTTTTTCTTTGTTCTTGGAGTCTCTTGCTTTAATCTATTTTTAATTTTGACTTTATTTTAGCAGTTTGCTTTACTTTATTATCTAATATTCATTTTATCTCTTCGGCTATATTCAGATCATACATATTATCATTAATTTTTTATCTATGATATAGCTAGCTAGGTTTGCTCTTTTGTATCACTATATGATAATGATAGTAGTTTCTTTCTTTGAGTACAAGTTCTATATACTGTATTTTGTCTTTTCTATATTACTATAATTCTTTATATAGTTCTTTTATTTATATTTTAGCTTCTTCTTTAGTAATTCTCAATATATTCTGCTAATATTTGTTTTATGTAGATTGCTAATTCTTCATCAGTTTTATTTGTAAGATTTTCTGTTTATATCTTGTCTTTTTCTTTTTGTTTTTAAAGCTCTTTTTTATCAATTATTACCAAAATTTTATATGATTTGCTGCTTTTTTGTTGTTGTTAATTTTTGTTGTTATTTGTTGCTTTTGTTCATCTTCTTTGTTTAATTCAGTTATATTAAACTTATTTATAATGCTAAGTATTTCTTTTTTTATAATAAATTTATTTGAAGATATTTCTCTGTTTAATGTTATCTTAAAATTATAGTTGTTTCTTTTCCTAAGTTCTAGTTACTGTACAATTAATTTCACCTTATTTATACTGTTGTAGTTCTTTTTAAAAAGCTTCTATTTTTGCTTCTGTTTGTTTTTTTGTGACAAATCTTTTTTCAGAACCTTTTGTTAATCTTTGCTTTATGTAATTTGTTGTTTTTTTGTTGTTATTAATTGTTATTATTGTTTGTTGCGATTGTTTACTACTTTTGTTTATTTTTGTCACATAGTTTTTAACATATTTTTTGTTTATTCTTTATTACATGTGATTTTTGTATTATCAAAACAAATCTGCAATTCAGGATCAAAGTTGATTTATCAAAAATTCGCAAAATACAAAAAAATATTGATGATTTTTCACAATTTCTTCTATTTCTTTGCTATTTTTGTTTTTTTTTACTCAAGTCTTTTAAAAGACTAAGTATTTTTTGTAGTTTTTTTCTTTTTTTTTTAGAGCTTCAAGTTTGATTTTTTAGTACTTTTATATATTTTTTGTAATTTTTGTTAATTTTTTGTTTTTAGAAATTTGTGTTTTGATGATTAGCAGAAAGAGTTTTTTTTATTGTTTTTTATTATTCTTTTTACAATTTTTTATTTTTATATATTTTTATTATAGTATAGTTTTTTAAACTATTATATTTTTATATTTAGTTTATTTTTGCTTTTTTATTTTGCTTCTTGACAAGTAGATAATTACTAATTAATAAACAAAAGAAACTAAATTTTTAGTAAATTAAAGATCTAAAAAAAAGTTAAATATTACTAAAACAGGTTATATTTGAATATAAGATAAGTAAATCTTTATTTAGTTGGATTAGTAGTAATAGCTATAAATAATTTTTTTTTAAATTTGTTAAATAGCTTAATTCTAAATAAATAAAGATAGAATTGCTAAATTAGAAAGAAAAAACCAGTAAAAAAAAATTGACAAATAAAAAAAATTTAAAAATAAAATAAAAAATTATAATAATTTCTATATAGTAATTCATATACAGTAAAATTAATTTATTTTAATAAAATACTATATAGTTTAATTGTTTCAAGTTAAAAATATATATAAAACAAACAAAAAATATATACAGTATATATATATTTCAAAGTTATTAATATTGCTTGCCAATAAGAGGATTAAACCCTTTTGGTATAAATTTTAAATAGACAAATAGTTTTATTTTACATGTAATTTTATTGGTAAAATTAATATTTTATATAGTAAAATATTATTTTTGAAAATACTATAAGCGATAAATACTAATTAAAAAGCTAAAAATAATTCGTTACTATGTACTTTAAAAACTAATTCAATGTAAAACATCATACTTTTTATTATTATCTATTATCGATCAGTATTTTAACTTAATATTAACATTATATTGTTAATTTTATTTTTAAACTTTATATAAAAAGTTTAAATGAGTGCGTGAGAGTGAAAACCTGGAAAACCGATCATAGTAAATCATTAAGTCGGTTCCCAGGTTTTCACTCTCACGCACTCAAATACTAAAAAATAAATACGTATTTAAAGTTTAAAATTAAATGTTTTACCTACCAAATTTAAAAATTTTAGATATGGGACTTTAGATGGAGGCTCTAACTCTCACGTCAACTTCATGTCATATAAAATCTAGATTGTGACGTCACTAATACATCATTGCCATATGTTATTTGATATTTTAATGTTTGCGGCCTTATCTGGAACATGTAAGCTAATTGATAGTAGTGAAACATGTGAAGACGACGAAAGAAGAATATAGATGGAACACAAAAATTTGTGGCAAAAAAAATTCCGTAAAATTTGTTTGACACGTGAGCAAATAACAAAAATACACAAAAGAATTTATACGTATAAAAAACGATTGGAAATGATGATACTAAGGAGACAGATGTATATGGAATTGTTACATCAAGTAATGCATGATGGCTACATGACTGTCGTATGAAAATCCTTTTGTAATTTTAGAATTATAACCTCATAAAATATCAATATAATCAATATAATAATATCAATAAAAACAATTTGATGTACTCTAAGCAGTTAGCTCTATTCTACGTACACATGTTTGTATTAACCAATTATAAGGAAAAAAATATAGAGAATCGTTGATAACTATATCAAACGTTAGTATCTTCAGGATCCAGTTACACCAACATAGCAGATATAGCAGATCCAAGGGGTTATGAAAATCCAAAACTCACCAGACTAAATGGGCAAAGAAAATGGAGGACGGTTAATTCCTCATGAGAAAACAAAGTTTTATTTTCTTGAGAAAACAAAGTTTTATTTTCTTGAGAAAACAAAGTTTTATTTAATTGAGAAAACAAAGTTTTATTTAAATAAAGATAAAAATTGAACAAAATGAAAACCATTTGACAAATAACACAGATCTAATTGTAGCACATCCAATTACAGAGGTACACATAACAGTTGTTACACATAAATTTAATTTTCATTGTTTTCATAAACAAGAACGATTTATATACACTATTTAATTGATTGTTTTTGTTTTTGATGAATTATAGATATTTGATTTTGATCAAATCCTTATGTAACTTAAAATCATCGGAATTTTTTTTTTTAACTAATTCGACAGACTTACTTAATGAACCAATCATGCCCGAGTTGTTACATCACCAATCCAAATTCATAAAAGAATTATGTGAACACAATTCAAAAAATGGGCAAAGAGAAGTGAAGGCAGGATGTATTGTTATAAAAAAAGACTTTCATAGTGATATTGTACTCATCATGCGATTAGCATAAATTACAATTATTTGATATTCTATTGTTAGTAATTTGGTTAAAATGCCATTGGATGAATATTTATACAGTAATTTTATATAAACTGTAAAAACTGTGATGCAGATTTTTAAACGTGATATTAATATATAATTATAAAATAATTATAAAATATATAATTATAAAATAAAATGGCTAGATTAACAAAATAATGAAAAAAAATGTTAGTCTATAATACGACGTATTTGAAACCTAATTCTGTAATTAACAGTTAATCCGATTTCCGATTGTTATTCAATAAGAATAATGTGATACGTTATCCAGGCTTTTGGCACTGTACCCAATGTGTTGTAAATACTGGCTTGACAGGCTTAAAATTCAAAACCGGTTCAGAACCTAGTATAATTACAGAAATATCGATATAGCCTGAAAAATGCGTGAATGAAAACAATATATTATCAAAAAAAGAACATGGATTGAAAGATTTTAACGTCAAAATCATTAAATAATTTTTTTTTTTGTTGCTTGAAACATTGTATATTATGCGAAATTACATGACAACTGCATGCATGACAATATAAAGTATTGTGTATGTTATAATGATCATTACCTTTTATGAATACGATAATATAATATTGTGAAACTTTTACAACCTTTGATAGGTTCCATATATAAAGTGTTATATTTCGGATACCCTTTGTTTAATCAAATTAATCAAATTCAACCTAGCATGTCAAGCATTATCTCCTCTCGTCTTCCTCCGGAAATACTTCAAGATATATTCAAATACAATGTTGAGATCAAAAACCGGCACGCACGTTATAAGAATCTAGCTACATCATGCCTTTTGGTAAATCGTTATTGGAGCATGAATGCTATTTCAATCATGTGGGAAGAACCTTTAAATATTTGCGCGGGAAAAGAAAAATCTTTAGAAAAAATCCTCAAAGTTTACATTTCAAATTTACCCAAAGTATCAAAGTCTTTATTAAAAAATTTAGAGTGTCAGTTTGAAATTCCTTTAAATCAACCTACCTTCAACTACGCTTCTTTTTTACAAAAACTCGAATTGCAAAACCTTTATGATACCATTAATCAATTCATCCTTCATAAAGCTTATTACTCTATTTGTAAATACGATAGAACTGCCAACCAACGAATTGGTCTATTACAAGAATTAGTCAAGCATTTCATTTCTGAAAGTCCAAAATTAAGTTATCAAATTAATATGAATTCAATTAAATGGAATGAATCAATTCATTTTGAACGATTAATTGGCGTCATCCCTTCTAATTCTATTCTTGACAAACTTTCTTGTTTCACGAAACATTCTCCGGATCTTTACTTTATCATTTCGAACCTTTTTTCTGAAATAAATAATTTACAAATTTTTTGTGATTCTGATGATAACTCAGCACTGGCTTCTTTAATCGATTCGCTATCAACATCTCCCTTAAAATTAATCTTGCACAGATATTCATTACCGATACCACAAATCATTAATTCACTTAGATCAAAATTAAGTAATTTGACATCTTTGATTATCCATGAACGTGGATCCATCCCTTTGGAAACTTTTCAAGAGTGCACTAAGTTAAAGTTATTTAAATTGAAATTGGATAAATTTAAATGCCGTTACGATGATGCCAAAAAAGATGCTGATGAATTAAAAGATATTATAAAATACAAATCACTGAATAATCTTGATGAATTTGATTTGTGTCAACCTACGGTGAATAACTTGTATATTTCAAGTATACTTCAAAACACAAATAATAATCTTAAAGTATTAAAATTAAATGGGATGAAATCGATTGATCCTGAAAATGAAGAATTATTATTTAAGTCGATTACGGAGAATTGTACAATGTTGAAGGAATTAGTAATTTCTTTAACTACATCCACAGCAAAATATTTTCCAACATGTATTCGTACGCTTACTCATCTTCAAAATTTAAGAGTGGATCGATATGAAGATGATCAATCATTTGAAGAAGATATGAGTATTTGGGCCGAAGCTCTTGGTAAAAACATTTCTTTATCCATAAAAATACTTTCGTTAGATAAAAATTTAAATTTGAACACGGAAGCATTTGAAAAATTTCTTTGCCAATGTTATAATAGAGGTATAAAAAACTTGTGCTTGATGGTAGATATACTGAGATTTATCCGCAGAGATGAACAAATTAACGTAACATTACGGAATTACATTCAAATAGGAACATTGAGTCCAGAAACAATTTCATGTCAGTAATAATACATAATAGCGTTAAATATCTATTATTTATATATTATTTGTCTATTATTAGTTTACTTAGTATTAAATTCCTTACCATTAAATTCCTTACCATTAAATTCCTTACCATTAAGTTCCTTACCATTAAATTCCTTACCATTAAGTTCCCATCATACATTAGTTCCGAAGAATAGTCATGCCCTATTGAACTATATAAATCAAAACTATATGTGGTATCATGCATATAAAAATTAAAGTTTTTTTTTTTCGGAATTAATTATCATGATAGCAGTTCATGTCTATTACTTATATATGATTCGTATTTTTTATTATGACAAAGTTACGGTAAAATATTTTAATATTTGAAAATCCTGCATTTAAGAAAAATTTTTGTTGGCAAACAAATTCATAATTTCGTTAATAAATATGGTTTTCATAACTTCGTTAATAAATATGGTTTTCATAACTTCGTTAATAAATATGGTTTTCATAGCTTCGTTAATAAATACGGTTTTCATAGCTTCGTTAATAAATATGGTTTTCATAACTTCGTTAATAAATATAGTTTTCATAACTTCGTTAATAAATATAGTTTTCATAGCTTCGTTAATAAATATAGTTTTCATAACTTCGTTAATAAATATAGTTTTCATAGCTTCGTTAATAAATATGGTTTTCATAACTTCGTTAATAAATATGGTTTAATATACGATTTTTTAAAATTTTTTGGAATATGTTTTTTAGAGTTGGATTTTGAGTCCTATGTAAGAGAGTATAGTCGGTTAATAAATTTAGTAACGTATGATAATAAACGTTTATTATACTCATGCGTATAATAGTTGAACTATTCATATAAACCTATACCCTAACCATAATCCTAACACGTTAACATGAAGTATAGTCCTAACCATAACCTTAACTATCTGTAGATAGTATAATATATTATTGTACGTACATTCTCCAATTAATATAAATGTATGATCATTTGAATTGAACTAGTCGTTCAGAGTGTGTTATTAGTTCTACGTAGTATATATTATTTGTAAATTGTTACTTTATGTGATATCGATTATATAACTTGTCAATGAATTATCTACAGTATATGAATATTGCAAACAAAAATTCTGTGCCAGGTTTTGTTGATCATGTGGTGCAGATCTCATGATCCACAAATCAGATTTCAAGGA